ATGCAATTTAGGTATGTCTATGTGTGTGCAGCGTTTTCCATATTTTATCATTTTTACTTGTTGGTAATTTTTGTGCTACTGGCTAAATGAATGTTTTTGTGGAATCAGATTAAAGTCTCCTAAATTCGATTTAATTATCATGTTACACAAAAAATACTATGAAAATATGTACGTCCATTTACATATATATTTCTTGAAGATCAACTGCTTGTCTTTTTGTTGCCAAGATAAATACAGTCAACCACAAAAGTCTAGACACAGTGTATTTTTTACAATGTATGGACAGCTAATTTTTTATAGAAATAATAGTTTACACAAAAACAAAAAGCATAAAAATTAAATTTCAATACTTTGTGCAAAGCGCAGAAAAATTTCCTACTCCATAATCCGATTTTTTTGAAAAATTTTGTTTATGAATTTTTTAGCCCAATAAATATTAGATTAATAAAAGTCAAGTTGGTGGTTCCTACAGAATACTGATGATGTTTGAAAATTTTTTTTTCCGATCGGTGTCAAACACAATACAGTCAGCATATAAATTATGAAAAATAAGCAGGTTTTTTAGCAACTTTCACTTTAATTTAATAGGTTACAAAACTGCATAGTGGAAAGGTTTTTTAAAAAAAGCAGATTAGAATGAGACAAACTTTCATGAAAACTTTATAAATTTTCCTACAGTTTTATTGATTTTTTTTTTAGTTGTGCGCAAAGTTTAGAAATTTCATTTTTATGTTTTCGTTGTAATACAAACGTTATTTTCAAAAAAAGAATTGGGAAAAGAAATAAAAAAAAATACATACCCACAGTGGCTTTAAAATATATAAATTGGATAGAGACAGTTTAGCATTTATTTGCTATTTCCCACTGATTTTTTATGAAAGTGTGACTCTTTATCTAAAAAAACCATGTAAGTCAAAATTTCAAACTAGAAAAATTCGATAATATTCCTTCAAAATTTCGAGCTTTTTAATTTGATTTCTTAGAAACATTCTGAGTATGCAGTTTTGCGGCCAATTCAATAAAAAGCAAGTTCGAAGTTGTTAGATCTTACCGTTGACTTTTGCTAATTTTTATTTTTTTATTTCTTCAGATAAAAAAACAATCGAACATTCTTTGTATAGAAGAGAAAGCGTGAGCAAAAAATTACAAAAATTAACGGTATATCTTAGTTACTTAAAACCTGCACTCTACTAGAATATAGTGCCCAATAACACAGCATACTCAAAAAACTCTAAAAAATCGGATTGAGAAGCTTAAAATTTTTTTAATCTACGAAGTTTAAATTTTAGATTTAAATGTGTTTTTTTTTATCATGAGTCATATTTTCATAAAACATAAAAATAAAAAATTTAAATAAATAAAATTAGCCCAAACTTATATTTACATATATATGTCTGTTGTTTAAAGTGTGGCCACCGTATGTAGCTGAAACTGAAAAAGTAACACTGTAGTTGCAACTGTTAATTTTGTATTCATTAGTCTTCGGTCTTTGACTGCCGTCAAATTTTGCTTTCACTAAGAAAAGGCTCAGCTGCGCACCCACTCATCTTATATATATACATAAATTTGTTTATCTGGCTTATCCTCTTTGCACCTTGGCAAGTTCTGAAAATACAATACATTTGTTGAGGTAAGCACGTCAGAATTCATTAGCTGCCAAATTACGTTCGCCTTTCGTATGATAATTTCTAATAAAGTCACAGCCAACCTTCAATTAACTTGCCTCCTCACCAATGTTCTTTTCATAACTTTTTATATTCGATAAAGCTCTTTAATTAATTTACTTTGCGTGGAAGGAAATGCTACCTTAAAATGTATTTTCATTCTATATTTTTTTGTTTAGTTTTTTAAATACTCTTGTTACTTTATTTAACAATGTACGATTAATTGGAAAATTATTCTGTTTTGATTAAATAGTAAAATAAATTTTTATAAGCAACACCAACAAAACCTAACATTTCTAATACTCATAAACTCATATAATCATATCGCTTATTTAATTTAATAGTGTCATAATCCAAAAAGGAAATTATGTGAAATTTTGTATTTATGACTTTTACTCTTCCCTCCCTAAGCCCTACCTGCTTTTTTATTGACTCTCACCATGATTTTGTTCCACCTGCCTCTATATTGTCGTGACACTGTGCTGTATTATGAAGCTTAAAAATCAATGGGAAAACTAAAGCTTCGAACGCTTTCGAAAAACTTCCTGCATGAAGACTTTCTCATAGAATTTGGAAAGCTTTGATCTGCTCGGAATGTGTCCTGTTAACTACTATCAAACATTGCATCGAGCAAAATTGACACCGTGTAGAGAAAGAAAACTTTTTATTTGGCAAAAAAACTATCTTAAATTCAAAAAGTTACTGACTTTTGGCAGACTACTGGCTTGAAAAGTGCCAGAGAGCGGAAGAATATGGAAAGTGAGTGTCAGTTGCAAATAGGAAACGAATCGATTTAGTAAGCAATGAAAATATTTGCTGCAAGTTCTTGTTAAATTTTTTTTTATATTTTTTTTTTATATAAGACATATGTATAGTTGGCTTGGGTCTGCTGTTATTTATCAACAATAACTGTTGTCTTGCACAGCTTCTAGAGCTGGGCAAGTGTATACTTAGATATGAACATACATAGAAAATTTCGAGAATATAAGTAGTCATATACAAAAATGTGCCTTTCAACCAACACTGTTGTTTTAAAGTTGCTTTAAAATACTGCAAACAATTGAGAAGGTACCTGTTTGGATACCAAATTTGGGTACTTTGTATTTAAATATGTCGAGTTTAAGAAGATACTAAGTACTAAAGTAACAAGCTTTTTTATTTATTTAAAGTGATGATAGATGCTAAATAACTAGAAATGTTATATTGTATTCGATTGCACGTGGTATTTTGTTGGCTAAAAATAACTTAATATGTGAAATTAATTTGTGTAATTTGTGAGCTGTGAAAATACTTAACTATATATACATATATAGTTCCTCAAAGTCGTTAGCGCATCTAAAATATGTGAATAAAATCATTTACTGACATCCAAAATACTTAAATACACAGCACTTTCACTCCGAGTGTATTTCCGCCTTGAAGAAAAGCTTCTCTTGATTAGTTGAAAGACCATTTACACCAAGCAACTGCTGCATTCAACTAAAAGTTGGCTGCAAAATTGGCTCATGTTAATTTCTTATAACTTTATCAAGTGGATACCGTTACTCATACGCCATGTACGATTATGGCGCGTCACTTAAAATCTTTCCTGCTTAATGATTACATCCGCTTTGAATAAAAGATGGAAATGCATTTTCATTTAGCAATTTTAGCAATACACTTATCTAAACATCTTTATATCTCCCATCAAAGATAGCTAGAACGCTATGCAAATTGGAACTACTTAATATAGTCTTATGTTAACATATCAGTGGACACTTCTTTGGCCTAGACGTGACCTGCTTCGCTTACAAAAAAAAAGTTTACACCTTTTGCATCGGCATCGAAAATATTTCGTTTTCATCCCATTTAGAAATATTATGAGTCGGAAATGTATAGTATATATTTTTAACCGACTTCCAAAAAAGGAGGAGGTTATCAGTTCGTCGGAGTATTTTTTATTTTTTTTATGTATGTTCCGCATAACTTGAGAATTGAAGTCGGCTTTTTTTGCTAAAAATTACTTGTTTATAATAAGAAAATTATTAAACCGAACCCAAAAAACATGCCTCACAAAACTTATAAAAATAAGATGTTCTACCTTACTAGAGAACACGTAGAAAAATAACATGTTTATCTTCAAACCACACTTGTCAAGGTATGACAGAAATTCGTGCCATAATAGGTCACGTTTACCTGTACTGGCTGTAGCTGAGTGCGCAAAAGTGCTTAAATGGTTGGAATGCTGTCAGATGAAATATATATGTTAAAGTCATAAAAAGTTCTAAATTTTTTGTAACTGAACTATAAAAAAAAACAATTAAAACGTGCATATTTTTTAAAAAAAAAATCGCCAACAAAAGTCAGTTTAAAGTAAAAGACCATTAGCGCCAAATCCTGTGGGTTTTTAGCTTAAAACAAGCACAATTTGCCTTTTTTTTTTTCTCAGTGTATGAAGAAACATCAACCTGCGAAGAAAAAACTGAAATTCAATGACCTAAAATAAATTTAATATTGGCTGTTGAAACAATTCATAACTTATGCGCATAATTGTAATCACAACCTTTTTATTTTCAATTTTTACAGATCATTTAAAATTTGTATTGTGTTCGTGGTTGGCATGACAAATCTGTGAAAGCGCAAAGGAAAATTTACAAAAGAAAATGTGCTTAGAGCTACATATAACCAGCGCGAAAAAATTTACAGCAGTAGAACCCTACCGGAGCAGCAGGGACCCTAACAGGGACATAACAATTATTAAATAGAATTTGAAATCTTCATAAAAAAGAAAATAGAGAAGAATAGCGTAGGATATTATATGAAGCAGTATTATTGGGCTGGGCCATAGTTAATAGGGGCGACATAGCCACGTTTATATAAATTTCCGAAACGGAAATATTACCAGCTACGCATTGCACCGCTTGCGGTTGCCGTAGATGCCGGTCGGCTTTCATGTTGTTGTATTGCCAATTTCTTTGCTTTTCATTCTTTTTCTGGGTTAACTAGCGTACAATTGGCGGTAATTTTCTCAGCTATTTTACTCGAACGTGCGTCGAAAGGAAAGCAATAATTGAAGGAAATTGTGCGAATGCGCCCCTTTTGCTATATTACGCGTATCAAATTTAATAAAAGTTACTCTTTGTAGCGCATTTACGTATGTATGTAAAGATGTATATATTTATGTCAATATACATACATACATATCTGTACTATGTATGTGTGTATATGAGGAAATAAGCTAACAAAGCTTTTACATACATACTTACCTTTACATTTCATAATTTTTAATTATTTATTGCGATTCGTTGCAGAATTGTTTAACCTTTGAAAATTTCGCTATTTTCTTCTTCATTGCAGGGCATGCGTATGTCTGGTGAGAGTACAGAGATATTGCATCTGACTCAGCTGCAGCGCGAGAGTGCGGGTGCGTATGCGTGTGGTGCAGCCAATACGGAGGGAGAAACGCGCAGCAACAGCTTGACGCTTAAAGTGCAATGTAAGTAATCTATATATAAAAATTAGTTATATGTACATATGTATATATTATAGTAGACATTGCTAACAAGAAAGACGCATAAAAATTCATTCACACTAAAGACGAAAATTGTGCATAAATATATTCGGTCATAAGATGCTTTAAATTTACTTATATAAGCATTCAATTGATTTCATTGTCGAGAATAAATAAGAGCAAACAAAACCAAAGTATTGCTGACAAATTTCATTGTAGTAGGTCTCGAAGCATATCAATTTCAGATTACGACGCAAATCCACCAGACAAAATACGCATTTCTTCCAGTTGCCTGCCACCATTTCTAGCCACCCCGTTATCTCTCGTTTGCTCATCCTTAGCCTTCATTTCTTGCTAAGCTAAAATTTTATGCGAAGCTGTTCGATCTACTTCGAAATTTATGCAAAGGTTACAATAACACAACGAAACATACATACATACAAACGAAGATGGTTACAATGGTTGGATAACCTAAAGAAGGCAAGATATAAGAGTAGCGTGAAAAAGAAAAGCTTGAGGAGAGAACAAACAAAAAAAAATATACGGAATGGGACTGTCGGTAGTGAATCTCGGTTTATCAATTCAAATGGAAATTTCACGTTTTGACAGAAACATTGATATGCAGATTTGTTGTGCCACAATTCGCAGGGCATAAACGCTGCCGCACAGACACTAATACATATTTACATACTATGTATATATTACGAAAGAGTATCAACAAATACAGTGTTAGGGCAAATATGAGGATCACAAGCCAATCTGAACCTTTTTTGGAGTATAAAATTAAATTAAATTAGGTAAAATTAAATTGAGTAAAATAATAAAAATATAAAAAAAAACCGAAATAAATTAAATTAATATAGATAAAATAATGTAAAATAAAATAAAATAAAATAAAATAGTTAATTTTTTTTTTTTTTTTGCATGAAAACCCATTGCTTGCAGATGCACGAAATTTATCTTCATCAATTTTCGTAAAAATTTCTAAGTTGCCTGTTTTCAGTGGATATAAAGCACAAATTAAATTACCTATGTATATTGCCCAAATTTGATAGTAGTCTACTAATAGATGGTTGTTGGTAGGAGTGACTACGCCGAAAATTCAAAAAGTCACTGTCTTATTCAACAGGTACTACATACATACATGTATGTAGGTTCGTAAGTAATTTGGTTGAAACTTCAAAAATTTTCCTGATTCCAACTTTTGATGCTCAACTGTACACATAAATAAAACATACACACATACCCCCACACTGGCGAAATATTTATGCTTACGTATGTGAATAGCTGGGATTTTGTGTGCTGACAGCATTTGATCCCCCAAGCGCACGCGCTCACTTTCGACTCGATTTAACTGCCGACAGCTTTATCCTCACATCATTATACCGCAACTATGTATGTATTTATTATAATAGTAACTTTATACGTCTGCACATTTTCATTGAAAGTCGTCTGGGTGGCGCAATGCGTTGTTTTTTTTTTGTGCGCGCGCGCTACTTGTAATCTCACTTCCATTGTTTCTACTGAAAATCCACTTGAGTTGACGCCTGTAGAGCGCGTTAAAAAATTCGTAGTCTTTCAATAGATATCGACTCGAGGGAATGTCATGAGCACCACATACTTACTTACATAAATAAATATGTATGTGCAATTTACTTACTTGTATGTATTTTTATACTCATGTGGTTGTTTGTGTTAGCAAAAAGCTCTCACTATGCGTGACAATCTACGAGACTTTTACAAATCCCAGCATTAGACGATTTCAAAAGTAACTCATGTGTGGTTAAGGGATCAAGTTTATTTTTGAATAATAATAAAAAGAAGAACATTTTATTTGGTATTAACTTTTTTTTT